TTAAGTAGATTTTATTCACAAAATATAAGAATAATTGGCTTTTCAAGCAAAGCCGTTGCATTCCCATACAAACCTTTATAAATTCAAACCGTTGTAACAGAACACCTCCACATGCTGCAAGGCGAGAGTCATGTTTCGCGTGGTCAAATTCGGTCGTTATGTAATAGTACATGTCATATGTCACGTTAGCCTGAACGTTCGCATAAAAAGGAAAAAAAAAAAGGAAAACATTGAGAGCTTGGGCCGCCTGTGTGCCAGCCTAACAGCCAACGCACATAAATTGCAAAATGACCCGTTCACTATATCAAGTTCCGTACTTTGAACTCACTTGCGCCCCCAAACACGCGTTGCCACATCACGTGTTTCGGGGCGCAAGGAAACAGTGTCACGATTGGTGTCTCGAAAAGCAAAAAAATAAATGTGGCTGGACAAGGCCAGCCTAAATATTTAAACATTCAACCGCATGGCGAGTACCATGCTTAAAAGCGCAGCGTATCAGATCTGAAAAGACCTATGGTCGGAAATTACATAAATGAGAAACCAGAAACTGCGGCGGACCGCATGCGATAAACGCTGCCAACGTAGGATCTACAAGAGATCTGATCAGCCAAAAAAATGTCTGACAGAAGTGTTGGATATACCAACTAATCGTGCTTGTTTGGTACGGTTTGCCGCGGTATATCACGCTCGTCTGGAAATTTTGGCTCTTCTAAAGTTTCGGAAAAAAAAATCCGAATCATCGCGCGACTGATAGGTCCTGATATGCCGCCGAAGTCATATCCATGATATCGGGACAAATAGGTGTAATACCCGGGTATAATTGCCCGAGAACTATATTGAAGCCCCGGGTAACCCTTGTCCCCTATTTAGAAGATTGCTGGAACGTTTTGAGGCTAGCTAATCAAAAATTAAACGAGCTTACCTGTAAGTGAAGTTATGATTCTCCTGAGCCATTGCGTAGGAACGAAGGGATCATGTGAGATTGCGCGAGCAAGCTTGCCTTCAAATTTTAACATTGTCGAGTAACCACTGACCCAAAAAAGGGGTAGGGATAATGAGCCAATGGCTCAGTCAACACCTAAATGGGTGGGCACGTGATCCCTTCGTTCCTACGCAATGGCTCAGGAGAATCACAATCAAACTTCACTTACAGGTAAGCTCGTTTAATTTTCATTCTCCCTCACCATTGCTGACGTCACTACGGGACCACGTGAGATTTCAAAGCAAGGTGATTACGAGACAACAATATCAAATCAACAAGTATAATGTAAAAACAGTAGGCGTGTCAAAGTACAATATGACACCTCAGCAGTTGTATACAAACTTAACTGTTACACACTAGATAAGACTACCTGACCAAAATTAGCATCAGGACTATGTTCAATGGGTTTGTTATAAAACCGAGCAAAAGTAGATNAGCTGACAATGCACTCCGAGCTGTGTTCAAGCAGCTATATCCAATGCCAGAATGAAAAAGTTTAGTCAAAAATTCAATAACATCTGTTACAGTTGGTTGCAAGGGATCACAAGACTGTTTAGTTGAAAACTTATACCATCTTGCAAGGTAGGTCCTGTACTGTTTCTTTGTTGATTCTTGCCATGATGACATGACAATGTCAATAGCTTGCTCTGAAAGTCTTTGACTTTGTAAAGACGTCCTGACAATTTGCAAGCCATCAGAGTCAACTTGTGGTGGAGTGGGTGAATGGCATTGGGGTTGTAGGGCAGCTGGAGTACTTTCTTTCCTCGAGGAAGAATGAAAGGTTCCTGAACAAGGAGGCACATCAAAACTGGAAACCATGGCTGTATTGTCCGCTGTGGCACAACAGGTATCCCGGAGGCTTCGTCGGCTTCCACCTTCTGCAGAACCCTATCAATGAGACTAAAGGGAGGGAAAACATAAAAATAGTGTTCTCCCCGGTCAACAGAAAAAGCATCTATAACAAATGCACCAGGGTCAGGATGCCAAGCTATGTAGGGCTTAGTCTGA